TAAAAGAGAGACACACAACCCAGTTGTCAAATAATAACGTTTTTATGACAAACACATTCAATTTTCAAATTGGGGGTTATTAGGTAATTTTGGTACTTTTCCCATCAATATTTTACCATCATCCAAACATAATATCAGTAAAATTCATCTAACTTTCCCGGTGAAATTTTGGCCTACCAACACTTTTTTTAACTTACCCAGTAAAAAAAACTTTCCACTTTTTTTCCAACAAATATTTGTTCCCAGCAAAAAAAAATTTCTCATGTACCAAACGCTCCCAGAGTTTGTTCACTAAATGCTAGTTACCAAAATTATGACTCATTTTTAATATATATTGCAAAATAAATTCGTGATTTTTGTTTTATTAGATATTTCATAAGGATAATGTTTTATATCTTAGAGGGAGTAATTTAGTGACAAAACTTTTTAGAGAAATAATGTGGTGATAGTTATGTATCAAAAAAAAAAAATTGTGGTGATAGTTTAAGTCTTTAAAGAACTAATTTAATAATAAGTTTATTTTGAGAATTGATGTGATGAAAGCATAATCTTTAGATCAACAAATTGAGGGTCTAAGCTAAATAAAACTAATTTTCAACTACTCAAATTTTGCTTATTTAAGTCCAATTAATAGAACATACAATATGGTATTCTTAATCATATTAAAAACTTTTAGAACGTTATGTAAAGGTTTCCTTTTGAAGTTTAACTTCTGATCTGATTGTGATCGGTTTGCACAATGTAAAAGACAAACAAATGTAAAAGTGAAAGCAAAAAAAAAAAAAAAAAAACTAGATCACATTAATTCAATTTTTGTAACTTTATTTTTTATTTTATGCAAGAGAGAGACAATGAGAGTGTAGATACCTTCCTTCCACAGCCTATGAATCACTCTAAGAAGTAATCAAACTTTGGTTCTTCCCTGCCATTTCCAAAACACAAAGATGAAATTGCCTCCTTTTGTTCATTCTTTTCCTCGTTCTTTTTTCTTCTACTGCTTCCTCCTTCTTCCACTTTTGCTCTTGCTCTTGCTCTTTGTAGCACCTTCTTCTTCTTCTTCTTCTTCTTCAGGTACTCCAATTGACAAGGTAACCATGTCACTCTATTATGAAAGTTTATGTCCTTATTGTGCTGATTTCATAGTGAACCATCTTGTGAGGCTCTTCCAAACGGGTCTCATCTCCATTGTAAACCTCAGAATGGTCCCTTGGGGCAATGCTTGGATTGCACCTAATGGCACTTTTGTTTGTCAGGTTTTACCTCTCTTCCATTGTTTACTATGTTATTTTCTTATTGAATCTCTTCAGTTTTGAAACCAATTAATTTTGATGTTATTCATGAACAACCCTTTACATTTGTAATTATTGTTTTTATACCGACTCTAATTACCTCTTTGAGGTGAATCAGTCTCAAATATTTTCACAAACTTCAATTTTTTGAATCGATTATGAAATTAATCTCTTAGTTGAAATTTTGTCACAATTAAAGCTTTTTGCATCTTTCCAAATATATACTTAGCGGGAATCGAACCCAAATTTTCTGAACACAACTGGATTACACCCATTATGTCAATTTGTATTCATTTTTACTAGTCCTTTTTCTATGCATTATTCTTTTGATGAGATTTTTTATTCAGAAACTTGGTTCTAGGAGAAAGCAGAAACCAGAACTCTAAAATTTATTATGTCAAAATAAACTAGTAGCAACAGTTAGGGGTCATTGTCTGAGATGAGAAACAGTAACACATAAAATTAAAGGCACTGTGAGTCTCTGACCCTAATAAATTCTAGTCTCTTTTGTTGTCAAGTTGAATCATTACCCCAACTGCATTCTCCAACAACCCACCAAGTTGATCAATACTTAGGTTAAGATGAAAAGTTGATCAATATATCATAATTTTTTTTGGCCAAAATTATGGGTTTCTATCATTTTTTTCCCAGGGCTAAGATTTGAGCAGTATAACTACAATAACTATTTATACAAATTGAGTTCAGGGCCCATTTCTTCTACTAATGGGCTTCATCAATTGGGTTTAATTATATTGGGCACGCTGTATCATCATTTTGTTTATTTGGTTTGTCAGTATTGAAGTTAGTTTGACCAAAATAAAATAAAATAAGGGTTTAATATTTTTTATATCATAAGATATAATTTTATCTTCTACACTACGAGAAGTATTAATCGTAAAAACTAAATTCTTAATTTTTGACGGTGAGTTCAATCAACCAAAAAACTAAAATTGTCTCCAAGCACCATAATTCATATTCATTATATGATCCAAAAGGAAAAGTATGAATTAATAATGCAAACTTCTGCTGTTGGTTGACCAAAACAAAGAAAAAATCTTCAACAGTTGGGCACACGTCATGGTCATTTTCCTAATTGTGGGAATGTGGATGGAAACGGCCCAAGTGTGCAAAATCTTGTTTCTTTAGTACCATATGAAATATATGTTATGTCTATACCTTATTTTTGTTTTCTAACGACCCAAGTGGTCCAAGCCTTGTTTCTTTAGTACCATACTAAATATATGATTATATGCAATGTCTATAACTTATTTTTGTTTCCTAATCGCAACTACTTGCTTCATTATTTTAATTTTTCACCATCATCTATTTTCGTTTTTTATTATTTGATATTTGCAGCATGGAGATGATGAATGCTTCCTAAACACGATCGAGGCATGCGCTATTACAATCTATCCTGATACGGTAGAATTCCTACAATGCAATTTTCTTAGTACTACTTTTTGTTACCCTATAAAGCAAATCTTTTACGTATTAATACACCTAGTTAATGTGAATTTCTTAGTGGTTTTACTAGCAAAATTTTACTATGATTATGTTGCGAGATAATTGATGGCTATCATTGAAGTAAGACATTCTAATTAGTCACTATTAGCCATAGTTTGAAGGAAACAATGCAAAACATTTTCAACTGCAAACAAAAAAGACAAAAAGATGCACTAATATAAAATTGTGATGCAGGTACAGCATTTCAAATTTGTACGCTGCTTGGAAAATCTCACCTTAGAGAGAAGGCAGAGGGAATGGGTTAACTGCTTCCAAATAACTGGGTTGGGCACATTACCTATTGATTGCTACACAAGTGGCAATGGCAAATCTGTTAGTTCCAAATAACATATTATCTATAAATATATATTACTTTTATTTAATATTTGTTTTTCTTTAACATGAAAGTGCCATCAATCTTAACTAGTTTGAAATAATGGTGATATTGATGTTAATTTCGATTAATTGTCATACCCCAATGAATGTATAACAAGCAGATTGAACAAAAGTATGCTATGGAAACTGCTCAGCTTAATCCTCCTCATAGATTTGTTCCATGGGTGGTTGTCAACAATGAAGCAATCCAAGAGGTTTGTGATTGATCTTAAAGATTCTATAGCCCAAGTGGGTTGTGGCCATAATGTCCCTTCACCTCTTCTGCCTTTTCTTGTGGTTGCAGGACTACCAAAATTTTGTGACCTATATTTGCAGGGCTTACAAGGGCAATTTGAAACCAAATGCTTGTAGGTCACTTTCAACTAGAACATATGACTCGAATGAGAAAATCAATTCCTTTCAACCTGTTTGCTATGTAGATGAAGCAAGAAATCTGACCTTACCACTAGTCACCAGATTAAGGAGTAAATCCCCTTGAAAATCAAGTTGGAACATATTTTTGGTGTGTTTCATGTGGTTGTATAAAGACTTTCACTTTGGTAGCAAGGCTCAAGTTGCTGGCTAATCTATTCTATAGGTTCAGATGTGCATGACTTGCCTAGGAACGTGGAATGTAAACTATCATAATAAAACTTGTTGATTTATTCCTTCATTTTAACTCCTCCTCTCTTGCTCACATATATGTATTTTATTCATTTTTTATCATTGATTTACTTATATCAAATGACTTATATTATCAAAAAATTAGAGTCATTAGATAAAAATGTAATTAACAATCAAGATTGAGAGTATAACTTATATTATTGTAAAATTATCTTATCCATTTATATATAGGGTCTATCTGGTGTCCAGTCACTATATTATAATTATGTATCAGGAATACATAGTTATAATATTAAAGTTGTACTATTTTTCACTTTCTACGTCAGCAGATAAATTTATTAAGACAGAAAAAAATACAATTTTAACAGTAGAACTATGTATTCCTGAGAATACATAGTTATAATATGGTGACTGAACAAAACCTTATATCCAGTGACTGGACACCCAATTTTTTCACACACATCTATATATATATATATATATATATGTATATATAAGCAGCTAAGGAAAGTATGACGGAATGGCTTAGTCTAAAATTTAATGTGAAAGCAGGCCTTTTCAAATTTCATTGGCATAAGTAATGCCTAAATAAACATGTACAAGTATTAAATATAAGATAATAATATCATCCAACCATTGCCATAAATTTCAACATCACCAAGGATAGGGTGGTTCAAAGTAAGAATAAAATTATATATACTTTCACTTCGACGGGGATATGATGAAACTAGAGCCAAAAGGGGAAAAACTAGAAACTATTAAAGGACAAAAAGAATATATACACTTTGTGGTTGGTAAGATGAGACAGAGAGAAGGGAGAACGAGGTAGTGGTGGATGATAAAAAAGGATAAACAGGCATGAATGCACATGATACTATGTAATCTGAAACTTCTTTTTCTGTGGAGCTATAAAGCAAGATTACACAGTAAACAAAAAAGAGGCTATAAGAGGGAATAATAGATGAAGATCATGGCTGATAAGGTTATATAGCTTCTATCCCTATAAAATTGTCATATTGTATTTCTGGGCTTCTTTCCTGTTCATTTTCACTAAAAAATGAAAAAAGAGGCTTTTGGCTATGTTTTCCAAAATAATAAGCTAATTAGAAATTTGATTTACCAACAGATGAGAAAAACTATATCACAGTAATATTGAGGGGCCCCTCTCTAATTTTTTCTTCTCCTTGACTAAAAAAGAGTTACCTGTATATAAATGACTCAGTTCCAAACAAATATTCTCATTCAAAGTTCACATTCTTACACCAAGAAACACGGTAGAAAGTCTTTCTACTTAAGCAGGATAAAAGAAAAAAATGGTTTCTCCAAAACTAGGAATCACCATTGTAATTGCATTAGTCCTTTTCTTTTTCATCTATGAAGCTGAGGGTGCATCTTATTCTTCTGGTTCACATATTGATGGTGCTGAGATCACACCATTGGCTAATCAGAAAGTTAATCTATCTGTGTACTATGAAAGTCTATGCCAATCTTGTGAGACTTTCATTATTAAGAATCTGGGGGACATCTTCAACAATGATCTCATTGACATTCTCAATCTCCAGCTAGTCCCTTGGGCCAATGCTCATATCAATAATACCAACAATTCCATTTCATGTCAGGTTTTATTTTTTCTCTATTATCTTTGATATTATAGAATGAATTACATTTTTACAAAGCATTAAAACATTCAGTACTTAACATGAAAAATTGACTTTGATATCAATTTGGTTGCTTTAGAGTGGTTATAGTTGCCACAAGCTCAAGGATCTGCTGAGAGAAAATTTTATTTCTTTGTGTTGATTCAGAATTGCTTTCGAGTTTTGGTGATAAAAAATAAGAAAGAAAATATTCATTATTGCATTTCTGGGAATATCCAATAGAGTTAAGTATTCCTGCCAAATACTAGGACTTGGAGTTTGTGGTTGGTTGTATTTACTATTCATTTGCCTTAGTTTTTTTTTTTGATGAACTGTTCATTAGCTTTATATGTGACTTTTTCTCTTCAATCTGGGAAAAGGGGTTCAACTTTAACAGTGTCTTTTGATTTCTGTTCACTAAATTATGTGGTCAATGAAGTCAAGCCCCATCTCAAGTCCAGACTACCCTACCTGACTTATGCAATCCATGCATATACTGTAACAGCAGAGAATATTTAAAAAAGGAGAAAGATTAGTTTACAAATTTTTTTTACAAATTTTTGCAAATTGCACTATGTTCTCCCGGGAGAAGATAGTGTGACTAGTGTTCTCCCGGGAGAAGATAGTGTAGTTTGTAAGAGTTTGTAAACAAAAAGTTTATAAATATAACCTGCCCCTTTAAAAAATCTTCCATCATTTCAATTATTGTTTTCTTTATTGTCTTCATCAATTGCACTTTTTATAACAATTTCCAAAGCATCAATTATTATTCTCATTTTTCTTTGTATTTGGAAAAGAATTGTAAGAAGTATGATGATCATCTTTATATTTGACTCATAATTATACACAACTTGGCAGAATGGACCAGATGAATGTGAGCTAAATTCTTTGGCAGCATGTGCCCTCAATATTTGGCCTAAGGTGGTAAGTATAAGGTGCACTTCCCACTTCTTTAGGATACATAGAAACCAGACCTCTGAGGAAGTTAACTTTAAAACCTGCCAACAGATCATGCTTTCTATAACCAAATCATGATGCAGGACAAACATTATGGTTTGATTGTCTGCTTTGAGTTTCTAGCAATTGATGGAAGGAACAAGAACTGGCTGGACTGTTTAGACCAATTGGGTTTGCCTAAGGAGCCTATTCTAAATTGCTTTAACAGTGGAAACGGAACAGAGGTTATTTTATTTTACATTCCTTTTTGACTTTACTGTTAACTAAAATAATATTGCAGAGGAAATGGAAAAATGTTTTTTATTGTATGACTTTGTGTTTAGTTAAGTCATTAAAGAGTGAAGTTATAGTTAATTAGTGTATATCACCTAATCAGTACTGTAGTGACATGCAAAATGATAGTATATTACTGTTGTGTAAGAAAGTTTAATGCCCTTTAACATTAAATTTGAATTTCTATGCAGCTTGGAAAAAAATATATTAATGAAACTTCACAACTTCAACCACCTCATTCATTTGTGCCATGGGTGGTGGTGAACAATCAACCTATTGGAAAAGTTTGTCCTTTCTCTTTCTTGTCCCTCTTTCTCATTCACACACACACACACATATCATTAGTATGATTGCCATTGAAGATACTCATCAAGACTATTGTTTGTGTTAATTCAGGACTATGCAAATTTTACTTACTATGTTTGCAAAGCTTATAGAGGAGTTGCCGTTCCAGCTGGCTGCAACCTTAAGTGAGAAATAAATTAAACTATTAAATAATGCCATGTATATTATTCCAGTAAAAGGCTATATAAACATGACCACATGGTCACTTCAAGCTCCTCCAAAGACACATTGAGCATGCAGAATATCTTACATTTATGGTAGTAAATCAAAGTGAGACAAAGCACCACCTATGTTTGTAAAGTTCCTACTAGAATACAAACGATGCAAATAATCATATAGTCTACATTTTCCATTACTAAACCTGGATTGCTAAATGCATGTTTATGCCAGAGACATTCTCTCCCCCTATCCCTCTCAAGCTTGAGCAAGTCAGAAAAAATGCTATATAGTTAATTATTGCATACTGGAGGCGTGCCGGATTTGAAAACTGCAAATGGTGAAAGACTTGACAATCATCTTGCAGGAACCTTTGATTTTTCATCATTATGTCCAATGGAAAGTTAATTCTGATTTTTTTGTCATTACACACCAATATATTATGGGAAGAATCCGTATACAAATTTTTTTTACAAACTTTCGCAAATTACATTATGTACTCCCAGAAATACATAGTATAACCTAGTGTATTTTTGGGAGTACATAGAATAATGAGTTTGTTTTTTCTGATGTTACTTTAAATAATTTTATCTAATATTCATCAAAACGACGTCGTTTTGGGACAGAAATCATGGTATTTTTATAATTTTAATTTATTTCAGGGTTATAATAGTCTTTATCACTCTGATTTTTTAATTTTTCAACCCCAAAATGACGTCGTTTCGATGAACATTAGATAAAGTTATCTAAAGTAACATCGGAAACTTTTTTCTCTAGAATAATTTGTAAATAAAAAATTTGTGAAATATAACCCTCCCCTTTTATTATTATAAAAGAATATACAAGAAACCAATAAGAGGCAAACGTGTTACTAACAAAAAATGCAAGAGCCTGTACTGTCTCTTGACATTCATAATATAATAATCTTGATCTATACATTTTTTATTTGCAATATTTGCATCTTTATTTTTTTCATTTTTTTGTTTTTTTTATTAAAAAGGGAATCTATTGTGAACCGATACTTTAGTTTGTTTTTTTATTAGGTTTCTGAATACATTATAAATTGATTGCAAAATTATAAAGCTCTAAACCATCTTTAAATTAATATTTATAACATTATTTAGGCCATCTTAGCAAAACAAAAAATACAATTGAGTGCAACTCATAACAATTATTAGAAAATTCTACAAGATAAATCCTAAAAAATACACACAAGAAGCCCAAAGAGGAAAAAAAGAAAAATGAAGTGTTATAAAAATTCTTGGGATATTGCTATTTGAGTGCTACATAAATTAAGATATTGTTATTGAGTACTTTGTGCTTCTTGGCGCCTAACCTTTAGATTATTGAAAATTCTTAGGATACACGTGTTTCACATCAGGAATCTTTGACTTCAGGAAGATATTTTGAGTATTGTTTTTCTAGATTTTTTTCCTGTGTCTATTATCGGCAGAAGTTGAAAAAATAACAATTGCGTGGATCCATTTTCAAGAGGGAGTTTATCCTTTGATAATTTCTGATAATATCAAAAGAATTTTTACAAGCCATATATATGCTACTTATAAACAACTTAATTTGTTAACTATTTGTACACCACAATTGTTACACTACATTTTTCTTGTTAAAAAAATGCTAACGTTGTCCAGTATCACTTTTAGGAGTTGTTTAAATCCTTAATCCTAGATATATTCCGAATCAGGCTAGTCGCAAAGCGATAACTCGATTGAAATATTTTCAACAACAAAAAAATACTAATGTGTAATTTTATGGGGTCGATTAAAAAAACAGAAGTCAAAATATTTAATTCGTTAAGAAAATAAAAAACTTAATACTTTCTTTTTTTAAGTAATTATAAATATTCAACAGACAGTATTAAATGTTTCATAACCAATATCTTTAAGACACTCATTAGTAAAATTAATTTTAAAAAACAGAAAAGAAAAAAAGAAAGAAAGATAAAGAGAGTATGCTAAAATGTGTTTTTTTAAGTACAAAAAATGTTTGTTTTTCTTATTTTATTTTTCAAAAGAAATCCCCTACTATCCTTTGACATGCTAGATTATATTTATAGTCACAACTTTTCAGGAATATGAAGAGATTCAAATCAAAAATTAGATTAGTCAGGTTCATTAATATTTCGGATACTAATGGTTTTTTTTTTTAAAGTGATATACGAATAATATACAAATAATATTATTGATGACAAAATCAAATTTCATTTAACCTCGTATGGTCAAAAGCTGTGGAATGAATTAAAGTTTAGAAGTTGTTATTTTTAAAATTAATCTAGATAGAATCAACTGATTTGCTTATGCACAGGACCATCAATGTCTACATAATATTGTTTTCATCTAATTCTACACCATTACTGCAATCCTAAATGATCAGATGAAATGAATTAAACTTGAACACATTACTAGGTTTCCAGAAAGGCAACTGCTACCACGTTGAGTCCATTTATTTTGTCACTCTCTATTCAACTATATAAGAATTGGAATATAACAAGTGCATGTTGTTTTAAGCAAGTAACACAAAATATAATATATATTCATAAAAAAATAAAATAGATTTTGTATGAAGGAAAAATGAATTCAGCTTGAACGCATTACTAGGTTTCCAGAAAGGCAACTGCTACCACATTGAGTCCATTTATTTTGTCACTCTCTATTCAACTATATAAGAATTGGAATATAACAAGTGCATGTTGTTTTAAGCAAGTAACACAAAATATAATATATATTCATAAAAAAAATAAAATAGATTTTGTATGAAGGAAAAATGAACAAGTTAAAGAACTAGCTCTTCTCCTCAAATATCTTCTTTCACATTTGTACAAGGCACATAGGTTGATGAACGATTTTTCTTCTGTTTTGAGCTGCGTTGATGCTTCTGCAGATTAGTAGAGCAAGGAAGGACAGGGTTCTTCATTGCACAAAGCTTATGTTTCATACGCCAAGGGAAGAGAAATTCCAAGCCACAACCCTTTGGAGAAGAAGAAGAATATGAATGACTAGTTGACCCTTTGACAGAACACTCATGATAATAACTACAAGTATCACAAACTTTATCCTCAAAATTACTATGAAAATTCAAAGAAGAAGAAGAAGATGCAGCTAATGCAGTGGCATCAGGGAGAAAACGGTTGATCATATAAGTAGGAGATTGGTAACCATGAGACTCTGCAAGCTTTAATCTTAAACAATCATTGTTGTCATTATTATGAGCATTCTCTGATTTTTTTTGAACAATATCTAATGCCTCTGATAGAGAAAAAACATCCATAGCATCTGAGAAAACATCATCATCATCCTTGTTGTCATCACCATCACAATAACCATCATCTATATCATGAAATGCAACATCACCATTATTATTATCTACATCAGTTTCATTAGCTACCTCTTTTGGTGGAAAAGGTGTGTCTGCATCTTGGGTGCTATCACTCTTCTCCATATCTTTTGGCTTGCCTGGTATTTTCTCCCATGAAAATGGAACTCTTTCACTTGTGTTTTGCACTGCACCTAATGAACTTGATGAACAATATGTATCAGCAACAACTGAACAACCATGACGCCTTGTTGATAAAAGCGGTGCATTTAAGTTTAACTTTCTTGGACGTTTGAAATCCATGCTCTCCAAAAGCTCCTCCTCCTTATTCTTCTTCTAGTTCTTTGTCTTCCATATAACAATCTTGAATAACTAGATTGATTATCTGAGATAATTTTATGACACAAGTCTCGTAAAAAATGGTATTAAATAGGACATAACATAAAGTTGGTGGAATAAATAGTAGCAGTTGGAAATACATGAATCTCGTGAAAATCATTATAACTGAAGTTTTGCTTTAAAGGGGTCACAAGTATGTTGAAAAGTCCCTTCTACGTGCCAGAGAAACAAGGAGCCAAAACTTAGAAGATCAATTGAACTAGTCATTATCCGAATATGAAATTGATGACCCTTGTAAAGTTTCATGTTTTTTCCCCCCTTATAGTTAATCTCACTATTCATTATATAAACACGTAATATGGGGAAGTAAAACCCACAAGTTAGAGGAGATATTCAAAAAAGAAAAGGTTAAGAAAAAGAGGAGAGTTGCTGACGCAGCATAAAATAGGAAAAAAGAGAGAGTGATGTTTAAAGACGTCAGGTATCCATCATCATCATCATCTCAAATGACATGGTCACGTTCTACATGTTCAACAACAATGGACAAGGTGATGTTAAAGTTTTAAAACAATATACAACATCATCAAAAGGAACATAATGAAAAATAAATTACAAAAGAATTAAGGGAAATGAAAAATGGATGAATTAAGCAGATCAAAAGTTGAAAACTTAAATATCTGGGTATTTATAACTTCTCCAAAGAGAACTCATCACCCATATAAGTTAAAAGGGTCGCCAGGGAAAATTGTTTTATACAACAGAGAAAGTAAAAAATGTTGCAACACAATGTGAATTGGCAATTGCTCAGCCAAAAAATATAATGGTAAATATCTAAATCTTGGACTTAAATTGATTTTCATGTACATGTTTTGTCTAACTGTTATCTCATCACCATTCTTGCTGGTGTGGCACAGTGGAGCATAGCAGGAGCTGCTTTCTGCACTACTTGACCATACCCCCTGACAAAAGCATAAGTCATTACATATATTTACAAGCAATCTTGCCCCTCTAGTTCTCCTTCTGTTTCAATCAAAATGATCTTTCTAATTGTTCTTTTCTCTTCTGTAGTTCCACTTCCAGAAGGCCAGCTGAAAGATATAGACCATGTCTTTTCTGAAGACAAAGTCTAAAGATAAATGGCACTGATGATTACCGGACCTTCATGAGTAAAAAAAGTATAGGTTGGCAAGAATAGGCTAGTTCCCCCATAGGGAACACTCAGAAAACATGATTTCTTTATAAAAAAATCTTATTCTCTCACTTTTGTTCTTTAATCCGCTCCCGTGCTTTATTACAAAGCTCAAGCGTGTCAGCATGGCCAGGATCAAGACAAAGGGCTGCTTCACAGTCTCGGACAGTAGAAACATAATCACTCATTGAATCATGAAATGCAGCTCGAAGATGTAACAGTTGCAGGTCTGGCTTAAAATTGATGGCTCTTGTAAGCTCTGCTATTGCTTCAGCTTCCTTATGATCATCCATTAAAACTAGTAGACAGAGTTTCCAAGTTAGAACATCGATAAGCTTTGTGCGTGCAGAGACACACAGTGCACTAACAGGTTGCAAAGGTTGTAAACTATATCATGATCATATTGCTCTATCAAGATGCTTACAGCAAACACAAGTATCACAGCATGAACCAAGACCAAAGATCAGAAGAATAAAAGTATACAAAGCTACATCGGACCTCCAATAAGTTAGGTCATAAAACAAGGATAAGCAGTGACTCAAAAGATCTCTCACTTCATAACTGATCACACTGATAAGATAAACAAACCCAAACGAACATGTACCCTAAAATAATGCGTAACTTGAGAGGCATGTAATGAACAGAAGGAGCATGGATGGTAGTTGATGCTGAGGAAGTGTTCAGCGAGGAAATTTAAATCAAATATGCTGCCAACATAAACAATGGTCTTGGAATATACAAACAAGCAAGCGAAGAAAGCCGAAGGATAGAAACACTGATGTTTCATGCAGTTAAATTTACAGAGTAAATTAAATGGAAAGCTATCAACTACTATTAGTTTTAAGGAAAACTGAAATATCTGTGTACGAAGTTACACTGAAAAACCACCATAAAAGAAAATTCTGGTTAAAACATCATCAAAGATTGTATGTCTGAAAGTAAGACAGTAACAAAACCATCATAGTTATAAAAAAATGTGACAGCAATTATTTAAAACACAAAATGGCTACAATGACAGCCACAGTTCCCTCCTTTCCCATCCCACACCCCCAACAAAAATAAGGAGAAAATAGAGAACAATAGAACTCTTTGTATGTGACTCACCTGCTGCCCTATATCTATATGGATAAGTCCTTAGAGGATCCAACTGTGTTGCCATACTAAGATCACTCTTTGCCATGTCACGATCACAATATTCTGAACGTTTCTCATAAGCTGATGCATTATTCCAGGCCTTTTCTATTAGCTTTGTCATCTCATCATATGCAGCTTTGCGGTGATTTTTAAGATGGTAAACACGTGCCAACCCCTGATGTGCACGTGTATGCTTGATGTTGAGTGCATTCATGTAGCAGTCAGCAGCAAGGTCCAGCTTATCGCAGTCTACGTAGACACTCCCTAGATTATTTAGTGCCTACAATTTAAACGAATGACAAACATCAGTACATTAGTTCAGCACTGAAATCAAGTTAACATGTTTAATCCAAAAAAATGTAAAACTAACTTGTCCTTTCCGAAGACCATCTGAAGGGCATCTAAGAGCTTCCTCCAAAAGATGGATCACATACTTTGAAGACTCTGAATCAAGACTTGAGTCGGCTAACACATAAGCTTTGAGAAAGTAAGCTTCAAATGATCTTTGAATAGAAATAGACTCCTCAGCCTTTGCTATTGCTTCTTCACGATGACCGGTGTCATATAATATCCATCCTTCATAGACAAGCCTTTCATGGTCAGAAGTGGAATGATTTCTAGCCAGCCGCAAACTGTGCATGGCTGCCTTTTGAGAATTTAACCTGCAAGATTCAGGAAAATCAACAGCCACAACAGTCAGGGTCATGCATCAAAATGATCTAGGACTAAGAAACTAAGTGCCGTTTGGCCCAACTTATTTTCAGCTTCGCTTCTCCATAAAAGGAGAAGTCGGGCCAAACACATTTTCAGAAAGGCTGTAAAAAAAATAGGTTTTTTAATGAAGAAAAATAAGAAAATGAGCTCCTTTACAGAAACTCCTGAAAAGAGCTTCTAGCTTATTTTTTTCTTCATGGCTCTCAATCACTATCTTCAACTTTGTGGGACACACATTTTGTGGGAAACCCTTTCCCTTTGTCCCATAGACCAAACTTCGCCTTTGTTCATTGCACTCACACGAACCATCAGCAACAACCTCTGGCTCCGGGGACGAGATCTACATTCTTGCTCTTAGTCTTCATTAGTTGTTCTCCTTATTCTCTTAGCTAAGAATGACAATGGCACCTGTCTGACAGCTAAGTGACTATTGCCTAGCATAGCATCAGCAACCAGATGCTGCTCCAACGACGAAAACCACGAGCACCGCCGACTCCTCTGTAATGAGATCATACAGCTGCAACGAGATTTTCCAACTTACTCCTCCAATAACTTCACTTCTCAATCACTATCTTCAACTTTGTGGGACACACATTTTGTGGGAAACCCTTTCCCTTTGTCCCATAGACCAAACTTCGCCTTTGTTCATTGCACTCACACGAACCATCAGCAACAACCTCTGGCTCCGGGGACGAGATCTACATTCTTGCTCTTAGTCTTCATTAGTTGTTCTCCTTATTCTCTTAGCTAAGAATGACAATGGCACCTGTCTGACAGCTAAGTGACTATTGCCTAGCATAGCATCAGCAACCAGATGCTGCTCCAACGACGAAAACCACGAGCACCGCCGACTCCTCTGTAATGAGATCATACAGCTGCAACGAGATTTTCCAACTTACTCCTCCAATAACTTCACTTCTCAATCACTATCTTCAACTTTGTGGGACACACATTTTGTGGGAAACCCTTTCCCTTTGTCCCATAGACCAAACTTCGCCTTTGTTCATTGCACTCACACGAACCATCAGCAACAACCTCTGGCTCCGGGGACGAGATCTACATTCTTGCTCTTAGTCTTCATTAGTTGTTCTCCTTATTCTCTTAGCTAAGAATGACAATGGCACCTGTCTGACAGCTAAGTGACTATTGCCTAGCATAGCATCAGCAACCAGATGCTGCTCCAACGACGAAAACCACGAGCACCGCCGACTCCTCTGTAATGAGATCATACAGCTGCAACGAGATTTTCCAACTTACTCCTCCAATAACTTCACTAATCTCGGCCATCAATTTTTTGGTGAAAATGTTAAAACCTAAGGGGTTGTTCAATGAAGCAGAAGTGTTCTCATTGCCTCAATATGTAATATTTATTCACCTAAACTTTAATAGTACGCGGCTTCAAAGGTAACTGGAATCTTTTTAGGGCCGAGCGTTTCGACAAACAGTTTGTGGACAAAAAAGATTTGTGACACAAACACCAAACAACTTTCATTTTGTTTTAGCTTTGCTTTTTAAGAGTGTAGCTTTTAAGCTAAAAAGGAGGGCCAAACAGGCTCGAATTAGCTTCCGTATGTTGATAACAATCCACAATTATTTAAAAGAATAAAGTACATAACTGAAACTCCTTAAGAATAAGATAGAATCTGTGCTTTGCGATTAACAAACACCAAACCAGTCTTAAAAGTAGATATCAGCTTCCATTCATTCCACATGCAGTGAAAACACGTTAAAAACTAAAAGTACATTTCCTGAATTAAAACTTATAACACTACATAAAATGTAGGTATTATTATGAATATTACATGCTTAATAACTGCTTCATTGTTGATCACTTGATCCAGGCCAGTACACCATAAAAATGTTCTACAGTTCCATTATTTTGTCCTAGTTTGCTTTGATGGAGAACATGTGACAATTTTCTCTAATTTTGACATATTACAATGTGACTATAAACTGGTCTATTTAGCATTATATAGAGCCATGAGTTCCCTGCAGAAATAAGTTAAAGTTAAAAATGAAAAAAAAGAATAACCAATATATTTGTAGCCAGATTTAGATATTAATCTCCTCCCTGATAATATGGAAAGTAAAAAACAACCCATGGTTGTACTAAAAAAAACAAAACAACCCATGGTAGAAAATCCCATTCACAGAATTCTTGCATAGAAGAAATTTCTGTAGTCAAACTATAATCTACATCAAAACTCACAAATGTAAGAAAAAGGTTATAACAGAATTAATGAGGGGATTACTAAACTCACCGTAACAGAAGGAGAGATTGCCGAAAACGTAACAGACTTTTTCCAGGGTCATTTGATAACATCTGGTGAACAACAGCCAAAGAACCAATGTCATCAACAGAGGACCATCGGTCATACAATTGCATCCAGCAATCAGCCTGACTCCAGTTCTGAACAACAGGACTGAGTAGTTCTACCAAGTGATCACCATGCATATTCCCATAGAACATCATATAATTAGGATCCAATGTCAAAATTGCCCTTACATCTCTGAGGGCTCCTTCATAATCCTCCATGGCAATCAAAAACCAAGCTCTCAATTCAAGGCAGTCTGGAGAAACCTTGAAACAAATTATTTTATTGATTTCTGAAATGGCAGGTCCAATCTTGTTCTCCTCCAAAAAAGAGACGGCTCGGTATTTGTAAGGAAAGGAAAGAGTTGGATCTAACTCAGTTGCAGAGATCAAGTCCATCATTTTCTCCTTCCCTTGACAATACAAAGACCTTTCTTGATACATCCAACCAACTGGTTTATAATCAGAAATAAGGGAGTTCATCAGTTTATATGCTGAATATGTGTGGCCGCGCTTATATTTGGCCCTTGCAACTCCTACTAAAGAATAAACATGCCCTGTCTCCACTGCTGCCTCAAACCAATGCTGTGCATCTTTGTATTCTTTTCTCTCATGCATAACAACACCTAATTGGTGAAATGCAAGTTGCTTCTCCCAACCATCTTTCGCGCACTCTACTAATCTCTCCAACAGCATCACGGTCATGTTAGACCTCATCTCTTCCTCCATTGCAATCTGACTCAAAAAATAATACAACACAAACGAAGCATGCCCCGCCAGAGCCAGCCTATCCCTACCCTCTGGACTACAAAACATTTTCACAACACTTTGACATTGCATTGAACCGGGGAGCTCCCTCAAAAACACCTGCAAACAAGCCGCAACCAGCAGGTACGCGGTCTCCTCCAGTCCATACTCAATGAGCAACAAGCCATCCTCCATGTCACGAACCAGAGATGCCAAGTGTGCATCACAAGCACACTTCATCTCTTCACAGCAAAACCTATTCGCCAAAGAGAGCAATTCCAGAACAACATTAGGGTCAAACTGGCTCAACCTTTTAGTCCTACTAAACACCTCAGCAGCCCTCATTGCCTCAACGGAAAACCCATTCAACGAAAAATTTATCTTCTCCCTCCTTGATTCCATGAATCCACCATACAACATTGCCTTGAAGGGCCTCGAAAGCGAGGCCATATCGAATCTACTACACCTAATTTCCTCGTCACCAATCCAAAAAGACATGTCACCATCATCCTCCTCCGAAGTAGAACATTGCTCATGCTCATCATCCACCATCATCAAAGACTCATTATCCGAATCACGGCTAGAACACGCGCAAGCACAAGGATCATACACCGATTCAGGGGCATACCCTGGAACCAAGGTAGCCCTAGGGCATTCAAGGTTTCTTCCACTGCAATCCATAGAGGACAAGCCAATAAGCTCGTCCTCCCTCCGCTCATAGCGGAGCCACGCGGCGAGCACCACCTTCGTGTGCACGTCCACCGCGTGCTCCCGGGCCGACCGGAGGCTCCGCCGGAACAATTTCAGGTCTGAAAGCCCGCGAAAGACAGCACATTGCTCAAGGAAAGCCGTGGACTTGTCAAACTCCGGGCAATTCTCAATCCTACGGTAAATCCCGGCGAGGGTTTCGACGAAATCCACGGGTTTCACGGAAGGTTCGATTTTGGGTTCTAGAAGCTCCGTCATGGGAAGGCCATAAGGGAGGAGAGCGCCCTCGGCGACCACAACATCGGACGATGTCGGGTTCGGAGGTTGTTGGAAGTTCCGAACAGATTTGGTCCTTAGGGTTTGGCTTTTGATGTGGTCGTGGAGTTGGTGGAGGAGCTTCTCTCCCATGCAACTTCCGCCGCCTCCGCCGCCGCCGGCGGTGCCGGATGGGTTGAGAGCGTAGACCTGAGTGCCCTTGCAACCGTCCATGATCTTCAAGCTACGCATTGTGGCAAAGATGTTGTGCTGCATCTTCTGCTCCTCTAAACTTCTTTTTTTTCCAAAGTTGAACGATTTAAGAGTTAACTTTGCAAAAAATTGAAAATTTAAAATCTGGGTTTTCTAAGATGATGACATTTGAGGAGAATTGAAAGAAAAAAAAAGTTTTTTTTTTTTAACGGATTGGCATTGCAAGCACCGTTGGGATTTTCGTTTTGGGAACTCGACGGTGATGCAGGCTGAATTGGAGGAATGGGAACAAAATTGGTTGTGTGTGGGGCGATTAACCCATTTTTTTTTTCCCCCTCTTTTCTTTTTTTCTTCTCTTTTGGTTTTTTTTTTTTTCTTTTTGGTTTTTCCCGAGAAAATGGAGGAAAAGAGAAAAGCAGAAAATAGGGGTGGGGGAAGAGAATAAGAACGATGGAGAGTGTCCAACCAGATGTGTTGAGGTGGAGATGGAGGTGGCCGTTGAAACGGCCACTCTCTTTCTCTCTCTATATCTTTCTCTCTCTTAATTTTTTTTTTTTTCTGCCCTCTTTTCTGTGTATTTTTGCTGCTCTTATTATCTAAATATATGAATTTGCCACTTTTTCTCCGTGTGGTTTTCTATTTCCACTTTGTTTTGGAATTTCCTTTAATTTCTAACACAAGACAAAAGGAGAGAGAATAAGCCAGACATAGAGAGAGAGAAAGAGAATAGCACGTTGTTCTACTGTTAATATCTATCCATTAGTCAAATTATCTCCTTAACATGATTGACCCTGTTTTTTCTTTTTTCTTTTTTCTCTAAGAAATATCAAGGAGGAAGAGATAAAAAAAAAAAAAAAAGTGTTGAAATGTTTGTTTATGCGTTTGGTTGAGGAAATTTTTTTGGAATAGTAGGAAAATGTAATAGATAGAGAAATGATTGAAAAGATAGATAAAGTGAGATAGGTAGAAAAATGTAAAAAAAAGTTGTTTGGTGGTAAAAAACTTTACTGGGAAAATTAGGTAACTTTATGAGATCAACAGTGCATTAAAAGCCAGATAACCGATTTTCCGAAAAATCCCACCTTCAAATTAGGTTTCTAAACAGTGCGGATATTTATGTTTCTCATAAATCTATACAAATTGGATAGATAGGTTTTTGGTGAAAAGACGTTGAAATAAACATGATGTTTCTAAAAGTCATACTTCAGAAACATAAATATCTGCTGAAAAGCTCCCAACCAAACACCACCTCAGGTGATATAGAAAGATGGGTGAGTCAACGGATGATCAAAGCTTCGGTATTTTTAGTACTTCTCATCTTTAAAACAAAATTGATTTTCATTAAATTATAAATTCATTTAATATCAATTAAGCTATAAATCAGGAATATGATAATTATTGAAAGAGTTTTTTAGATAGTGATTGGTGAGTGAGAGATTAATCTTATTACGCTGATTAATTGTAAACAAAAAATAATAATATTATGTATTCTTAATAAAAACAAAAAAGGTAGTCTTCTATTTTGTCCGATTGTCCGTGTTGTCACAAGCTGGTGGTAAAGGACAACCAAGAAAAATGGTGGTGTGTTTATGATGACCATGTCCTCTAATGTTACGATAACCCATTATTGTTAATAATTTTGTACACAAGCACACGCACACTATCTCTCTCTCTCTCCAATTTGCTGGCCCGCAACTCCCGCACCAATAGGAGTTGAGAAGAAGAAAAAAAAGTAGGGATAATTTTCCTTTGGTTTTGGTCTAATTAAACGCGTGTGATGGAACCATATGATTGCAAATTATTTGGGTTATTTATTGATGATAGCTGTCTATGATTTTGACCATTTTACAATCACCGTTTTTGTTTTTATTGCCCCTTCCTTGCTTTTGAGTTTAATCACTAATTAATGGTCGAGGTGCCCCTTCAAATGAGACTCATTTATTTCCTTAATGTGTGAGTATGGCATGAAAATGGAGTTTGGAAAGGATTACGTACTTCTATAGTTTACGATGATTAATGTGATTGTTATCTGTTCATAATTTTGTCAACGTGAGAGTTACCCTAATAAGCCTTCTTCTATTAGGCTTAGGCACAGTTGTTGTATGAATCCTATATTGAAATTGTAATTTTCATAAATTTTAACAAAAATTAAATAATTAATATTTCTTTAAATAAAAGAAATTATATCTAGAGATAACTTTATTTTATGCAATAAAGAAAAATATTATATATATATATATAAGTTATATATATAAATCTTAGAGATAGATTTATAAAATACACAATATGCTTATATGTACTATTATAAATGAAATTACTCTACATTGACTACATTTTGGTTATCCTTAAAATGTTAATGTAATTCATTCAAAAAGAAATAAAATAATTGTTTTTTTTTATGGAAAACATAAAATAATTGTCTAGCCAGATGTGTCTATATCATGTCTCCTCATATTTGTCGCAGATTTTGTTTAATTATTTTCGCATTTTATTGTTTCCCCAATTAAGGAGATTATACAATTAATTAATTAATTTCTTGTTTTTATTATTTATATATTTAGTTTCTAGATTTAAGAGATTCGGTCGGATGAATCAATGTGAACATCACATTATATGTATCTTGTACATTATACGTTGTCTTAGATTTGGCACAACGAATGGTTATCAAACCACTTCACAACATAAGCCAGTTGTCACCTCCCAATTGACGAACAAATCTTTGATGCTAGATAGTACTGAATTTTTATGTATCTTTTATTCATGAGGTGTGTCATATTTTTTCAAATCATTAATAAATAAATTATTTTAATATTAGATAAGAGAGTGATTTGATAAAAAAATAAGACACGTATCACATTATGAGTAAAAAAAAAAAACCAAAAATTTAGGACTACCGTAACACTGAAGAAATTTTTCCAATTGACAACTGACCCTGCGAGAAGATTTTCTGTGGGTCTAGATCATGATAGTCCCTTTCCAAAATAGAAAAAAAAAAAAAAAAAAAGGGATTGAAGAGAAAAAAATTAAAAAAATAGAGATAAAAATGAAAAAAAAATTTCATTTATGATAAAGGAACCACTAAATAAATAATCGACCTGCAACATATTAAATTTTTCCCATCCCTGCCAAGCTTATGCCAGTTAGCGTGCATATTGAAACCTAAACAAAGGGAAGATAATTGAGGTCTCTTGGTGTCTATTGCCAATGAGCGCAGATTGATGACTGTGTGTTGATAAGTGCTTTTTGTTAGATTTGATTGATAATTAAAGTATAAGAACGTGTAAAAAATTGAGCGGTTGATAATGACAACCATTAAGTAATAAGACGTGGTTTCACGTGGTGTTACGGAACAACTATAATTATACACTACCTTCAAACTTCAATGGCCGGAAAAATTAGACGTATTTCCTTTGTCCATACTCCGTAGATTCATTGAAAAGCTACAAATACAAATAAATGTTTGGTTTACATTTTCATCCACGTCCATATGCAGTTTAGGGTGGTTGAAAATGTAATGCAAATAACTAAATACTGTTACTTTTCTAACTTTATGTCATCATATTGTGTTTTTGGAACATATTTTATTCTTAAGTTTTTTTACGAGGGTGACAAATAAGGAAATTATTATAATATTACCTAGCCTATTTGTTTTTCTTTTTATACTTTTTCTTTAGACTTGGAATTCCGATATCCAAGTTATAGCACCTAGAATATAGAGTTTAAATCAAAGATTAGAATATAGCAAGATAACTTAATTCAAATAAAACGAAACTAAAAAGTAAATAAGATTTTAATTTTGATCTAATGTATATATAAACATTTTCACACGATTGTGCATGACTTCAGGTAATCACATGTTTTACTTCTACATGCCTACTCTACTTTCACACGATTGTGCATGACTTAAGATAACATTGACTTTTAAAATTAATTTTGATTAAAAGTAAATTTGAAATAAAGTTATTTATGTTTGAATGTTTCTGAAAAGTAATTCGAACATAATAAATATTATTTAAGGAGAATTGTCTATTACTGCAAAAGTAATAGGTTCTGTCTATCACAAAAGTACGAATTGTACTGATTACTAAGAAGGATAGTACATACATATTTATTGTTAATAAGTCCCTCTTCTAAATCTAATAATCAGATTGACTTTTCCTTTTGTTATAGATAAAATGTTATATTCAATTATTTGAATGTTCTCGTTCTTATCCAGCCAACATGAAAGGTTGTAACATGCGAGTGCTTTGTGTATTCATTGGCCTCGAGTAGAGGACACAATTATGTAACATGCGAGTGCTTTGTGTATATTCATTGGCCTCGAGTAAAGGACACAATTATGTACTTAGCGTTAGGAGTGTTTATCAACCGATTTAAACCGCAATGACCGAACTGAAAAATCGAAAATCGAAAACCGAAAAAAAACCGCAAATTTTAATTGGATTGGTTGATGAAAACTGATCCAATCCAAACCAATGCAATATATTAATTCTCCTCTACCTATTTGAGTCTTTTGCCATTTATAGCCCAAAAATTTCTAAACCCAAGACTCATTAACCCATCAACTAAACTCAAGAAAAAACCTAGTCACATCTCATCAACAAAATTTTATTTGTGTAGAACTTCATATCTCATTGTCATAAAAAAAACTATATTATCGTTTACTGATGCTTTTGTATTTCAAAAGAATTTTTTTTACAAAGTCAATATATACAAAAGGTGTTATTTGCACAATAATTATGAAACAAATTTTAGGATTTTCAAAATACCGAAAAAAATGGATTTGGATCGGATCAGATTTAAAAAAAAAAATCCAAACTGAATGGATGATTACATGATCAAACCGAAGGGATTGGATCAGATGATTTTTGCTTTCAAAACCGATCCAATTCAAATCGCGAACACCCCTACTTAGAGCCCTTACAACAATAGAAAGTGCTTAAGGTAATGCCTCTGACATTCTTGTTCCTGCATCGAGGAGACAGAATTAGAAAATCCTATGAAAAGGATGAAAAAAATTAAAATTCACATTAATTTAGACAAATTAATATAAGGTCTTTATTTTTCTTATTTCACAGAAGACAAGATTTCTTTCTTGCAGATGCATTAATTTTTGTGTTGATTTTTTTTTTTTAAATCAGTGCCCCATTTTTTTGTGTCAGCTGGATCAAATCTTATCTTGTGTTGAATAAGAAAAATAAATCCCTTAATATAATCGTGGGTTGATAAAGGATAAATTGGAACGAACTTACATTACATTATATATTTTTTAAAATATGAATATTATCTTATACAAAATTTGCATGAACTTAGGGAAGTGATTGACCCTCCAAATTCCTATTGGGGTGGTTCCTTCCTTTAATGTTGGCATACACCTCATTATTGGGTGTAGGGCTTAATGACTGCCCAATAAATGCTGCCTCTGCCTACTAGTCATTGAAGATTCTGGAAGAAGGTGGAGGGTTCCTCTAACCTTATAAATACACATGAAGACCTTTCGTAATATGTTAGAGATTTTGAAGCTTAAAGCTTAGAATTTTAGAGTA